GTCCCGGTGTGTGACACGTTCCCTGTCCCGGTGTGTGACACGTTCCCCGTGTCCCCGCAGCGTTCACGAGCCGGCTCAGCGGGAACCGGGGGGTTCAGTACACGCGGCTGGCAGTGCAGCGCGGGGGCACCTTCCACATGGGGGGGACCGGCACCCACAGCAGGTGAGCACGGGGGCTTGGGGGGATGTTTGGGGGTCGCTTTGGGGGTTGGTTTGTGGGTCTCTTTGGGGTCGGGTTGGGGGTCTGTCTGGGTGGTTCTGGGCTGTAACCCCCCAGGCTGGTGGGCAGCAGCGTGGACAGGGCAGTGTGGGGTTAGTTTGGGGGCAGTTTTGGGAGCAGTTATGGGGTGTTAACTTCATGCCCCCCAGGCCGGTGGACACCAGCATGGACAGGGCAGTTTATGGTTAGTTTGGAGGGCGGTTTGGGAGCAGTTTTGGGGTGTTAAATCTCCCTCCCTGCAGGCCAGCAGGCAGCAGTGTGGACAGGGCTGTCTGGAGTCAGTTTGGTGGCAGTTTTGGGGTCAGTTTGGGGACTGTTTCAGGGCGTCACCCTCACAGCCCCCAGGCTGGCGGGCAGGGCGGTTTGTGGGTGCGTTTGGAGGCCGTTTTGGGGTGTTAACCTGGTGCTCCCCAGGCCGGCAGGCAGCAGCGTGGACAGAGCAATGTGGGGTTAGTTTGGGGTCAGTTTGGAGGGTGGTTTGGGAGCAGTTTTGGGGTGTTAACCTGGTGCTCCCCAGGCTGGCGGGCAGCAGCGTGGACAGGGCAGTGTGGGGTTAGTTCAGGGTCAGTTTGGGGGCAGTTCAGTGGCAGTTTTGGGGTGTTAACCTCGTGCCCCCCAGGCCGGTGGGCACCAGTGTGGACAGGGCAATGTGGGGTCAGTTTGGAGGGTGGTTTGGGAGCAGTTTTGGGGTGTTAAATCTCCATCTCCCCCAGGCTGATGGGCAGCAGCGTGGACAGGGCAATGTGGGGTTAGTTCGGGGTCAGTTTGGAGGGCGGTTTTGGAGCAGTTTTGGGGTGTTAACCTGGTGCTCCCCAGGCCGGCGGGCAGCAGCGTGGACAGCCTGCTGCGGCTGCGCGGGCGGCTGCTGCTGGACCACGAGGCCCTGTCGTGCCTCCTGGTGCTGCTCTTCGTGGACGAGCCCAAGCTGAACACGAGCCGCCTGCACCGGGTGCTGCGCAACCTGTGCTACCACGCGCCCACGCGGGGCTGGGTGGTGCGCAGCCTCCTGTCCATCCTGCAGCGCAGCAGCGAGAGCGAGCTGTGCCTCGAGACCCCCCGCGCTCCCCCCGGGCCGGGCCCCGGCGCCGAGGAGCGGCCGCGCGGCCGCGGAGCCCGCGGAGCCCCCGGCACGGCCGCGGAGCCGCGCGGGCTGGACCTGCTGCACCGCGTGGAGTCGCGCAGCTCCGGGCAGCTCTCCTGGCTCTCCGTGTCCATGGACGCGGCCCTGGGCTGCCGCACCAACATCTTCCAGATCCAGAGGGTGCCGGGCCGCAAGCACACGGAGAAACACGCGGCGGCCGCCGGCTCCGCCGTCCACATCCACCCCCAGGCCGCCCCCGTCGTGTGCCGGCACGTCCTCGACACCCTCATCCAGCTGGCCAAGGTGAGGGGGCTCGGGGGGC